ATTAGTAGATGGTGGGTATGCAGTGGACATAATAGATCACATTTCTGATAGGGAAACCTTATTAGTGGATGGTGGGTATGCAGTGGAAATAACATATTACATTTTTTGATAGGGAAACTTTATTAGTAGATGGTGGGTATGCAGCAAACATAATATATCTTGAGTTCAACAGAGTGAAAAAAATGGTGGCTGAGGAATTAGAGTTGAAATCTACAAGTCTTAAAGTTGCCAAGGTTGGACACCCGTGTACTAGATAAAGCAGAGTTCTGGGAACTCTTTCAAACATGTTTAGTTCAAGGAACGTTCACATGGATTATTTCTTCCTACCTGCTCTTGGGCTTTGCGGGAGAGCCTGCGAAGGGAGGTGCCGAGAAAGGTCCCGATCCCCACCAAGAAGGGCATCACCACGACGAGCAGTCCGGTCAGTTTGGGGGAAATCAGGTAGAGAGACACAAAACAGCCCACCGTCTGAGTGAGGCTGCGGAGACCCTGGAAATGGGGGGTGGTGGTGGTGAAGAAAGAGAGGGTGGCATAAAAAGAGACGCCTCCGTTAAAGAGGGAAGGGCGACCTCCGGGTTTTAATTCTCCCCGTCCGCGCGAGACAAGTCCGAATCGGAGCAGAATTGCCCCCCGCTCGGCGAGCCCACCCCTCCCGTCCCACCATTGGTCAAACCTGAGAGATGACCAGCTTGAAAGAAGACTTGAATTCCTGGATGTCGGCGGTCAGGCGGTTCACCAGGTGCCCCGTCTGATTGGCATCGAAAAAGGCGACCTCTTCCCTTGGGTTATCATATAAAGAAAACTTACAATGTTTGACAGATGGCATATAACACCCGTGAGATGAGCAAAAACGTTTAAAAATACTTCACACAACTGTTGGAAATGCAAACAGAGACCAGGTACGTATTATTGTATCTGGTGGACATGCCCCAAAGCAAAAAAAAGATTTTGGGTTCAAATACATTTACGGTTGGAGAAAACGACTAAAAAACAAATAAGACCTTAAACCGGAATGATTTTTGTTAGGAATAATAGGAGCTAATTCTGAGAAAGATTGCAGATATCTAATAGATAAGATAGATAAGATAACCTTTATTGTCATTTTTTGTTTTTTACCGTGGGCACAATGGCACACATCAAAAATGAAATTTAGCTGCCCGCTCTCAAGGTGAAACACATACATGCCACACCCCTAAAACATACTATGTACAACCTATGCATAGACCCACACCTCTACATACACGTAGCAAACAAATATTAAATACTGTCCATCTTGAAAATATAACGGAAGGAGGAAGCTTGAGGGTTCACAAGGTTAATGCTGTGTGGAATGCAACTATGGCTGGATCTGGATGTTATGCTACGGATATTAACGGCAGCAAGAATTGTATCTGGAAAAATGGAAATTTACCAAATGAAGTACTAATTAAGACAATACTAGAGTGGGCAGAAATGGATAGGTTGACTTTAAAGATTATTAAAGAGAAAGAAGACTCGGTCTACTTTAGAACATGGGATCACTTCTATCCATGGCTAGAAAAACAAGCCAGAAAGAAAGGAATGTGATATGTAATTTTGAATGAATATATATATTAGTAAGAAGAAGGCCATTGAGTGATGAGTTAACATATTATTTAGGATGATTAACTATATCTATTATTGTTAGTACCCAGACATTGTGCTGTTTGCTAAATGTTGAAAATGTTATTTGGAAAAACCCCAACCCTAACCCCGACCCCGCCTTATCACTTATCAAGGTCTACCTCTACGTAGTTGTAACGCCGAAGGCTAGCTGCAGTTTAGCCAAGTTGCTGAATTTCTCAACCGGATTTGACAGCCGACCGATCCTCAGCTTCGGATAATTCAGGGTCCACGCCGTCCCCTTCCCCGTTATCCCTCCCTCCAAGGCCGGGGCGGACCCGGATGACATCCCAACGTGCCCCCCTTTGTTTCTAACCCCCTTACCTGAGGAAGGAAGAGAAGAGCTGCTTCCGCATACTGCCGGCCACTCTCTCCCCGATCCACGACAGCAGCAGGATGTATCCGAAGGTTAAGGCGCCCTGCAGACAGAGGGGGGGGGTAATTTAGATTCCTTGCAGAAGAACTGGTCATTTGCATTTTTTTGGGAGAGTCGTTGAGGCCACTTGGAGGTTTGTGTGCGTCCTCGTGGGACTTTCTTATTATTCTTTGAAGACGTTTCCTTTCCCATCCAAGAAGCTTTTTCAACTCCGACTGGAGGGTGGGGAAACGGAAGGATTTAGATTCCTTGCAGAAAAACTGGTCATTTGCATCCTTTTGGAGAGTCGTTGAAGCCACTTGGAGGTTTGTCTGCGTCCTCGTGGGACTTTCTTATTATTCTTTGAAGACGTTTCGCTTCCCGTCCCAGAAGCTTCTTCAGCTCTGATTGGAGGGTGGGGAAACGGAAGGATTTAGATTCCTTGCAGAAAAACTGGTCATTTGCATCCTTTTAGAGAGCCGTTGAGGCCACTTGGAGGTTTATCTGTGTCCTCAGGGTCGCCTGAGTGATGTAAATTATTATTATTATTATTATTATTATTATATTATTATATTTGGATTTATATCCCGCCCTTCTCCTCGCGGACTCAGGGCGGCTGACAATCAATTAAAATACATAAATAACAATTACAAATTTAAAATTAATTAAAAGAAATATTTGAACATTGTCCAATTAAAATATAATTAAAACCCCTCTAAAAATTACCCTAGGCCAGTCCTGCAAGCTGAAATAACCAAGTCT